AATCAGCAGGAATGTTCATTCACATGCTAATATCGTGTGCCGAAATACCATACCCCTCGTGTCTTATTCGTTGGAAACGACGCCATCGACTGTTGCAAGTCTTTGCGATCGGTCTGTTACGTCACACCACATCTGCTCCTAGCCATCCTCGTCTCGATCATGTGGTTCGCCGGGCGTCAATCCAAAACCGAATCAGCAGATATCTTTATTTCAATCTCTACTTTGTTCCTATTAAATACCATACCCATCGTGTCTTTAATCGTTGAGAACGTCGCCATCGACTGTTGCAAGTCTTTGCGATCGCTCGTCACGCCACGTCACATCTGCTCCCAGCCATCAACCGCGACACGTCCCCCTCCTCTCGACACACCACTAGCTAACCTGAAACCTCCTCTTCCCCTCGATCTCTTCTCACATGGACACACAGACGTCAGTCCTTAATTTCACGGCCTCCGTCTCATGGCCTAGACCGTCCAGCCCGCCCCTCCACTCTTCGCGCCTCGTTCCTGTCACCCCGAAACCTGGCAGTCTTCTCTTCCACCCCGCCAATCTGCACTTCCGTCCCATTACACTCTACTGGGCTACGGACGACCTTCCTTACAGCTTCTCCTCGTACGTCTTTTGCTGCAGCGCATTCACTTGCTCACCTTTGACCTTCGCACTAACCTTTACCATGTCGACCGCCGAACGAAAACTCTCACGTCGCGAGCCGCCCCTCCCCGGGCAATTTTATTGCAAGGCCTGCCGTCGCTACTTTCAAGAAAGCGACGCAGCCGCGCAGTTCACCGGCGCCTCTTTCATCAAGCCGTCACACAGACGACCTACTACGGCGAACAGGAAGTCCACACCTTCCACCGCGGTCCCAGTGCTCTTCGCGTGTCTCCGCTGTCCCTTCCAACACCATGATCCCCGCGCTTTTTTGGGTCCCCGGTCTTCCTTTTCTCATCACACCCCGCTGACCTCATCGCAGGACCACTTGCCCGCCAAGCCGGTTGTCCGCAGACTCACGCGCCCAATACAGACCCGACGTCGCTCGAAGAGCTCGGAGTTGCTGTTCAGAGTTGGCGGGCCGCTTGGAACCGTCCTGACAGGGCGGGAGGTCGGAAGCGTTATGGAGCGGGTGGAGGGAACGGATAGGGCGGAAATGGCGGCGTCCCTCGAGGCAGCACAGATGGATGCGGAGGTCGCCGGCACCCGTACACATTTGTGCCAATTGGAACACGTCGACACAGAGCTGGTGGAAGCAGGGGAGGCCGTCGAAGTACCAAAACTGACGTGGACTTCCTTGCGCCCGCGAAGATATGCAACATCTCCCAAACTTGTACCTAGCAATTCACACGATTCGCTCGATCTAAGCGCGCTCGCGCCCTTGCCGTCTCCACTTATACTCGTCCCCGCTCCCTCCCGGCAATCCCCGCAGCACACAAACCCATCGCCTCGGGCACCCTCCACACTGCCGAATCATCACAGCCTGGCGATATCCCATCGTCGAGGACTTCTCATCGCCACCCATTCCCTCCCTCGATGACTGGCCCTCTTTCGACCCGACGGAATGCGAATCACCCCCGGCCCCGATACTGTCACACGACGACGATCACGACCTTGAGCGATACAATCTCGTCATCAACACCCAACTCCGCCTCATCATATGTATCCCCTGCTCCAAGGCCGTCCTTCCCGCTCGACTCCGACGTCACCTTCTGGACAAATGCCCCGCCTTGACGTTCCGACGACATCGGCGAAAAGCTTCGGTCCAAGTACACGTCGCAGCCACCCACGACTGGCCCTTCCCGCAAGCCCGTATCCTGCCGGTGTTCGGCCTTCCCATTCTTCCCAATCCTTATCTGTTTTGTCAATCGTGTCACCCGGGTATTCAGCCACACATCTCTCGCGTCGCATCACTATCAGCGCACTTGTGCGCGCTCATCTGACAGTCGCCTGGTCATTTCATCGCCTATGGGCAAACCGTCGGCTTCGATCCACGCGTCGTTTTCCCAGTCGACACCTCCCTTCTCGCTACACCTGTTCGACGCCCGCCTTTTCGACCGAGCCCTTCACCACCCTTCCCAGGCCCGATTACGCCCATCTCCCCATCTCAAACCCTCAACTCATGCAACATCGACTTATTCTTCAAAAACGAAGACTTTTTATTCACTCGTCGGTCGCTACCCCCGACAGGTCAATCAGTCCATCGATTGCACCGCGCCCCACGCCCGAGCAGAAGCTCATGTCTACGCACCTCGACATCGTTTCTCGCACGTACTGCAAGTCAATCCAAGCCGCAATAATCAAATCATCCGCTGGACTGCGGAGGCTGATGGCTCAAGTCGGCGCGTAAGTGTATACACTCCCACTGAACACCCGAACTCAAACCATCACTCTCAGGGAATCATCGCGCGCGGAGAGCTTAGACCCTCGAAGACAACTCGCTGAATCAGTACTCCGCGGTGCTGGCAAATCTTATCTACACCATGCTCCGTGCCCACGCCAGCGACTCGCAGCACCTCAAATTCCCCCTCGATCCACCTCAGTGCGAAGCTCTCACAGGCCTGCGCAGCATTCTCATCGCGCCGAGCTTCCCAACGAGCAGCTCACGGCCGAGTTCTTCCACCGCACGTGCTTCGCTTTATTCGCACAAGAGAAGCAGCACGGTGGGCTAGACAACTGGGTCCTACCCGTCAATCGCTATGTCGTTGCTCGATGCATGGGGAGGGAGACGTGGATCAAGGCAAATGAGAATCACTCGCATCTGTGCCAAGCTGCAGTGGATAAACCGCGGCGTCATGCTCACCGAAATGAATCGCCGCATGCCCCAGCATCTCATCTCGTCTGACCAGTACGTTTACCTTCTTATCACACCTACCCTCTGACGACCATGCAGAGCTTATCAAGAGGTCAAAAAGTTCCTGTTGGCCAACAACGACACCCCTTCCGCCTTCATTTACGACGTTCACCACACCGTCAGGAAGATTCGTGACGAGTACAATGACGCCGACGTGCAGATGGAGAACGAATCCCACACGCGGCTCATATTCGACGGTCACCGCATCGATCTCTCTCAGTTCAAAACACTCGCGGAAGCTCTCACTCGACGTCACGCTGACATCCTCGGCGAACACATCTTCTTCGGCAGAGGAGTAGACCAATCGTGCTTCCCCCCTTCGAAATCGAGGACTTGGTCGACAACCCACACAACTTTTCACCCGGGTTCTGCTTCTTAGATATCCCATCCAACGGCTTCGACAAGTGGGCCGAGCTTTATCCCCGATGGCTTCTATCCCATCCTGATCTCGAAGCCCGGTTCACATATTCCTTAACGGGCAGCAACGATGGAAGCTCCATCCCACACGTCAGCTCCTGGAACGTTTCGAAGAGCTTCGTCTCATTCTCGCCATCCGCTGTATCGTTTCTTGCGGTCCCTCCGTCCGCGCCGCCGAATTCGCTCGCCAGTCACTTCGAAATCTCCCTGGTGGAGCAGCACGAAATGTCGTGCTGCTCTATCGCACACTCTGTCTCCTGGCCGTGCTAGAGAAGACTAGCATGCAATTTTCTCGGAAGCACTGCACCCCGCACAGCCCGCGTGCCATCCGTATCCAAGGATCTTATTTGGAATTTGGCCGTGTTCCGTCCGTTCGAGCAGTTTCTCATCTCCCAGTTCAAGGGTCCCATCGACGCTGAACGCTACTTCACGTCGATGTGGCCCGGCATCGACGCCGACTTCACCAGCCACCTCATTAGTACCACACTCGTAACTGGACCGAGCAGATCCTTGGCGTTCGACTCCAGATCATCGAGTACCGCAAGATCGTGGGCACATTCTGCCGATACATCGTGGACCCGTTCCTGTACAAGACTCTCGAAGATTCCCTTTTTGACGAGCTCCAGAACCACTCCACCGGCATGAGCTACATGCGCTACGGTGTCGAGAAGCAGACGCTCGCCTCAAGCGATCCGCGAAAAGTCGTCGGGTGTATCAAGGCTTGCAGGGCATGGGGAGCAGCCACGGGAATCGACGGTGGGATTCCCATCAAGCTCGAGCTGCCCCCCAATCTCGAGAACCAAACCGTTCTTTTGCCGCACACTGCAGGCACAGGTAAATATTCTGTGCTCTACGCTCTCCTCACACTTCTGACATCACCATTGTAGGTTCGGGGGATCCTCCTTCGGCTCTCAGCCTCGATACGATCCAACGCGCCATCTCCGAAACCCTGCGGTCGGACGAGTTCATCAAGCGGGAATCGCTGGAGGCACCACTGACCCAGATCATCGCCTCGCTCGCCGCTCTTTACTTCCCAAAAGTGCCAGAACCTCCTTCCGCCAATCGACTACAGCCCATTTCCTCCGTCGTCGTCCATCCTTCTCGTCGTAACGCGTTGCGCGAATTCCGCGGGGACGAGACCGCCAGTTGGACATGCCCACACCAGGCCGAGCTCCTCGAGCGAATGCGCGACAAAAAGCGGCACATTCTCGCAGTCCTCGCTTGCAACTCCGGCAAAACCGCTACCATCCTCATGCAAGCCAACATCTTCGACTCGGCTTCCACCACCATCTTCGTTTTACCTGTCAGTGGGCTTCATCAAGACCTCCATCGTCGCGCAACGCAGTCACGACTCAATGTTGCCCGGTGGAAACCCGACCACGCTGCCTTTAACGCCGACTTCAACGTCCTCTATGTGTCAGTCGAAGATATCAGGGACGAATTCATCCGGTGAGTGCTTACCTAGCTTCAATTTGTCATGCGCCTAAGTTTTCTCTCAGATTCGCGAAAGGCTTGGCCTTGACACAACGTCTCGCCAACCTCGTAGTCGACGAGGCTCACATAGCACTCACCGACGCTAACTACCGCGAGCCTATTCGACGTCTGATCAGACTAGCGACCGAGATTGAGGCGCATATCACTCTCTTGAGTGGTTCCATCGGCCCTCAGCACGAAACCCCCCTGCTCGACATGTTCCTACTTCAGAACGTCGACGTCATTCGCATGCCTTCGTGGCGCTCCAACATCGAGTATCTAGTTTCCCTGCACGCCGCAAAAACGGACCAAACCGGATGCAAAGTCGAAACTTACGTCGAAGCTGCCGTCGTGTACATTAAATGGCGAATGAAGCAGACGGCGGGCAACTGCTACCGCATGATCGTCTATTGCCGCAGCGTCCGAGTCGCGGAAGATGCCGCTAAAGCTCTGGGTGTAGTCGCGTATCATGCTGGGGTCGACATGGACGCTCGCCGACGGATTTTCAATAACTGGTTGGCCGGCGTTGATCAAGTCATCGTCAGTACATCGATCCTAGGCGCTGGCATCGACACAATCGTCCGCGAAGTGATACAACTCGACGTTGCTCACACAGTCATCGACTCGCATCAACAAGCAAACCGCGCCGGACGCGATAACTTACCCGCCCGCGTCATAGTTTTTGCTTCTTGCAAACGAGAGCCTTCGCTCGGCGAGGATCATAAGGCCTCGCTGGGCAGCGTCTACCTCGTCCCCTGGCTATTTCATTTCGTCTGTCGCCGCCTACTTTTCGCTCTGTTCCTCGACGGCGTCGGGGTGACATGCGGCGTCATCCCTGGGGCACAGTATTGCGACGTTTGTCATCTCCAATCTCGTCAACCTGCTCCGAGGAACGCACCGCCCATGCCCACTGCTTCCAGTCAAGAGGAGCTCGCTGCGCTCCTGCCACTGCTCGTAACGGCTCAAGCACGGCGTGAGGCCATCCTCCGTGCCCCAGGTAGATTTGCTTTCTTGTAATTTGGGCCTTTCATACCGCTAACTCACTGATCAGATGTCAAGCGTCTGCTGTACTCTGGTGCCAGACACACCGTTGCTTCTTCTAACACGTCGGCCAGACAAGCAAACAGCCTGCTCGAGCAAGACCATCCACCTCGCCTGCGCAAGATTCCACGCATCGAGCCTCGCCCTGTTCGTCATCAGCCCGTCTCGCACCCCATGACGAATGACTCGCCCGCGTTCTTACCTCCGCCGCCGCTGCCGCCTTCCATGTCCCCTCCCTGGTACCTGCCACCGCCTTCACCTCATTTCGGCCGCCATTCCATCCACCGTATCCGTTCGTTCCACCACCTCCCTTCTTCCACAATCCACCCTCGATATTCCCTCCGCCCCTGCCCCACCACGATCCCCGACCGGCGGCGTCACACCTGGCTCTCTACCCAAGTCATCCAATGGAGCAACCATCGTCACACGCCCAGCAGTCATCTGCTCGTTCACTGGACTCTTCGCCTGCCAGCTCTTTGTTGCCATCTCACGTGAAACACGAACCGGCTCAATTTCGTGGCTATGAAAACCCGCCTCCGCCATCGTCTCAGCCCGCCGGCACTCGAGTGGATCAGCCGGCGTCAGTACCAGGCATCTCCGTCGTAATTGCCCAGAACGAGCACGTCCTTCGCAAGAAGGAATGCATCCAAATCTGCCGAGAAGTCACAGCCGCGCTCGATACCATTCTTTCGAAGCAAGGGTGTGCTGTCTGTCTCATTCGTCAGCGTATCGATTGGGATGCGCACTCCCTCGACGACTGTTCAGCTAACGTCGCGACGGCCAACGATCTGCGTTACCAGGGATGGAAGGGCACCGCAATGAAGCTGCCGGATGGGTGGTGCTTCCACTGCATGCGTCCTCAGGTACGTTCTCGACGTTTCGACTAGTTTTCGAATCCTAACGCAATTCAAGGGTAAAATAGGATCGTTCCAGACTCATGAATGGATGGAAGCAGCGGCATCCCGCTGCGCGCATGCAGGCGTCATCAAGGCCATGCTTTATGCGTTCTTCACCTCGGCGCAGGGCACCCTTGTCTCTCATCATGCGCACTTATCCCTTTCCAACTCCGTTCGTCAGATCACTTCGGGTCTCTTTGCCATTGGGTCACAGACGACGCCCGTGACTATTCTGGATTGAAGATTAAAAACCATCTCGTCCTGTTCCGGTGGCTGATCAAGCACACCAGTAAGATATTGTAGGACGGAAATGTTTCACGCTCCAGTTAATTACTAATTCAATTCGTTTCCCTCCTTCTTTTACCCCAGTGTGTGGCAGCAGACACTCGACATTCTGCTGGCCTGCAGGTCAAGAACCTTCTCGTCGTGTTCCAGTGGAACATTGAGCATACCACGAATATATTGCACCTGCAAAAATGTTTCACCTCCCATTAAATTACAAATTCATTTTCTTTTCATCTTGCGCTTGACACTACGACGTGCCTCACACTTTCCTCTTTTCGCAGAGTGTGTCGGCACTGTATTACGCCAGAACGTCGCCGAATCATCGCCTGACCACCACGCCCACATCTTTCTTCAAATAGGTCCAGTCCGCCCACGTCTATGCTCAGTTCCCATTCTTCCCCGCTCTCTCGTTACACCTCTGGCTTATCGGCCACTTCAATATCAAAACCCGTATGTTCCATTCGATCCGTACTTCTCAGTTCAGCTACTTACTGTAGACAGATCTACCATGTCTTCCGCGTCTGATTCTCCAAGTGCGCACGACCACGGCGAAACTCCGCATTCTCCAAGTGCGCAGGACGACGGCGAAACTCCGCATATCGCGACCAGTTCGCCTCCTCCTGTCTCACACAGGCCGCCCCGTAGGCCGCCCCCATCTCCCGTACGACTTCGGGAACTATCTCCCCTTCCCACGTTCTACGCAACTGGCACCTATTCGTCACCCCCTCCACGCGCGTCTAGTTCCCCGCCTGCTTACGCCGGCCCCTGTCCCTCGTCCTACGTGCCTACCCCGTCGGACAATGCTGATCGCTATACCTCGCAGCAACACGTCCCCACGGCCCGAGTTCCGTTGCCATCCTCCTCGTCGCACGACTCTCCCTATCCGTCGCATTACGGATACCCATATTCGTCGCCCTATGCATATGGATTTCCTTGGGTCTATTCCCCTTCTCCTCACAGTCGCCCGCCTGCAGATCACGAGCAGGGGCCGAATCATCTCGCATTCCGAGGACCAGCTCGCTCGTCTACGTCGTCGTCAGTCCCGTTACCTCATCAACGTCCTGCGCATTTGCGTAATGTACGCGACCGGACCAACGCTCCACCACGCGCGCCGCTGGACAACGTTGACCCATTCATTTCGCATGCTAATCAACACCAGACCTCTGCCGTGCCCAGCGACATCTTCGATGGCCTCCCTCTCCCAGCCGCTGGCGCAGCACGGAAAGACGAGCTTGTTGCGATCTGCGACCGCGTGAACGCCGCGCTGCGATACTTCTCTGCCGGCCGATGCGTCATCTGCTTCCTTAGGGGGACCGACGACTGGGACCAGCATGTTTTGGACCGATGCGCGGGCCCCATTTGCTCATTCGGCGACTACAACTATCGTGATTGGAAGAACAACGGTTTCGAGCTCCCGCCCGGATGGTGTTTCTACTGTCTCCGGCCTCAGCATGCGCAAGGGGGTTATCGCATGCATGAGAAGACCAACGCGGTGGCGAGCTGCATGTACAAGGGCTTGATCAAGGCTGCTTTGTATGCTTTCTTTTCGGCCGAGGACGACATGCCCCTCGTTCGCGACTGCACCATTATACCGACCCATCTGCGTGGAATGGAGCGTGAGCTGTTGTTTTGTTGGGCGTTGACCAACGTCCCGAACGCCGAGGGTCTGAGAGTAAAGAACCACTTACTTGTTTTTCATTGGCTGGTCGATCAAAAGGCGCGCGTTCTGGGCCTGTAGCTTGCGCCGTCCTCATATTTCTTGCCCTACCTACTCTTCCTCAAACAATTAAAATCTAGGCACCACTTGGGATCCCTCCCAGTCGTTACGTTATTGTAGTCACATGGTCACGGTGATCGATGCCTGTATCTTGCTTGTCCTCTATGTATCACAACGCGTTCTTGGTTCTTGGCACAAAGCTCTAGACTTGACTGTTAAGACGTTTCGAGTTGGACTCCGAAACGCTGGTGTGTCAAATGGGTTAGCTTCTTCGGGAAGCAGGTAAGTCGCGACTATTGAATGCGTGGGAACCTCACCCCAGGTCCCCGTCCCTTTCTTTCCCTTCCCTAAGGTCTCCGTCTCTTCACTTCGCCCTCCATCTCCACCCACACAATGCCGCCTCCCGCGCCGCTGCCGGTGAGTAACGCCCTCCCTCCCAATCCGAGTGTGTACTAACTGGTTATTCAGTCATACACCGTCGATCCAGGGCGGCGCATCGTTTACATCGATTCCGTTCAGCAATGCGACGAGATGCTCCAGTCGCTCGATGGGCCATTCGGGTTCGACACCGAGTTTACTATGTCCGCCGACGTGAACCGGGTGCGTTTTCACCTGGGAACCCGTGCCTCGGTCAATGAGTTAAGGGGATTCGTAGATCGAAGTCGTCCAACTCGCGACGCGCGATGCCACCTTCGTCATTCACCTCCAGCCAATGGCCTACAGTAAATCCGCATGCCTCACCGTCCAACTTGTTGTCTGACCTACATCAGTAATCTCGAACGAACTCTACCGCATCCTTACAGATACCCGAGTCCTCCTCGCCGGCATCGGTCTCGCGAATGATCTCGGCGTTTTCTATCGCGGCCATGGGATCGACCTTACTCACCTCGTCGAGCTTGGCGTGCTCACTATGCTCTACGACCCTGAATCGCTGCCCACCAAGTACCGGACTCGCGCTTTACAGCCTATGGGAATGTGTAGTGCCGCTGAGTACATTTTCGGCAAGACCATCGACAAGGGCCCCAGTGCTCCGACTGAGATACTGGCGTGCTCTCGAAGGAGCAATTACAGTGTACGTTAATGAGTTTTCATTCGCTTGCTACTGCAACTTACCAGTCCCGGCAGATGCGGCCACTGATGGGCAATTCTGCTATGATTTGTTTACTGAACTCGCGACGCGAATGCTCATCAAGAGTGTGGACAATCCGCGCTACTACATTCCGCGCACTTGGTTCACCTTCGATGCCCAGGAGGGAGTAGCTGTGCTCACTGTCCGTGCGCCGGATGGACAAGCTGTTCGCTGGAGTGTCACCCGCTGCAATTACTGGGCCAGTAACGTTTACGTCGGCTGCCTTGAATAGATACATGCTCAGTAGTACCAATGTCTTTCACTTCTTGTTCAAAAAAGAAACTTGCATCTGATCTTCGAACATGTAGCTGACTTATTGGATGACAAAGAAACCAATGTGGACTACGACCTAGGCTGAAAAACAAGAGACGCGGCTCCGACCGCCTCTGGGGAAGCCAACTACCCCCTCGCCCTTATGATCTCTGCCAGTACAAGCATGTATCAACAACTTACGAGTGCTGTCTTCTTGTACCACAACGTGCTAATTGAACAAACGATTGTATTCTTGGTAACACGCTGTTCATTTCAGGGCCTAGATGTGGGGACGGGGAGGTTGAAACGCCGCGGCGCTTCTCCACGAATAGGTAAGTCCCCCCGCTTTTATACTCGCTGTCTGGACGTTTCGCTGTGTCTTTCCCACCACCCCCCATTCGTCGTCTTTTCACCTCGTCCTCCATGTCTATCCAAAATAGCCTGGCTAGATCCACACTGCCGGTAAAACACGCTCTCCGTCCCAATCCGTTTGTGTGCTAACTACTCACCCAGTTGTACACGCTCGATGCTGGGCGCCGCTTGTCTTTAATCAACACCGTTTCGCAGTGTGACGCGATGCTCAAGTCTCTCGACGGACCGTTCGGCTTCGACACCGAGTTCACCATGGCTGCGGATGTGCCTAGGGTGCGTTGATAGCCACGAACTTGGGCCGAGTTAACGGGACGACTAGATCGAAGTGATTCAACTCGCGACGCGGGACTCGACGTTCGTCATTCACCTCAAGGCAATGGGATATGGTACGTGCGAGTCTCTTACTGGGCAAGCACGTCTAAGGAGCGTTAGTCATCTCTAAGGAGCTCCGTCGCATCCTAGTAATAGTACATAGGCTACACCCCCCCCTGCAGCCTTCCCTCTTGTTCAGGCCGCCCAAGGCCACTAAAAAATCTGGAAAAATGCGCAAATAGTTGCTAGGGTCCTGGGTAAGATGGCGCATACTGGCGTCCCCACTCCGGCCAATGGTGCATATCCCATATCGAAATCCGTGGAGGGTCTCAAAATGATCACTTCCCATCAGAGCTTTTGATGGGAGGGGGACGCAGAATGGTTATTAGAGAGTGGTCTAGGGTCGATTCCCTAGGCCAGACCTAACCCCAGGGCTGGGTTACCCTGGGCCAGGGAAGCCCTTTAGGGTTACCCTAGCAGGGGGCACATGACTGGAAAGGTGTGGTGCCGGGTATCTTGGAGGTGACGATGTTGTGCGTCGACGCAGCTCCTTCAGCCTGAGAGGGGCTGGGTACACGGTGTATTGGTGGTGACGACGTTCTGTCAGACTGTCTCAAAAATGAGCATTTGCACGAGACAAGTAAACCGAACTTTCCAACTTGTAGCAAATGTGGTCCTACACCAAACAACTTTTGCTATGTACAGCCCGTGCACGGGTCCAATGCACCATGCCCATACCCGCAGTCTTGGGCGTGACGACGTATTTACTGAGAAGGGTCGAACAAAAGATTTCACTCCAAAAAAAAGTTTGTTGGTTGCCAGAAAGCAAAACGTCGTGACGTCCAAGACACCGTGTGGCCGGGTGGTGAAGTCCACATGTTTATTGCATCACATGACTGACATGTGACATGATCGAATCACATCATCGTAAGCTCCAAGACACCGGGTATCCAGGCGGTCAGGGTCATGGTCTGACATCGAGGACCATGACATTGACCGCCTGGTTACCCGGTGTCTTGGAGCCAACGATGATTTGAACGGGTCAAGTTGCCAAACGAGTCAGGCAAAGAGAATAACGAAGGCAGACGACCAGCCGGACACACGGTGTCTTGGACGTCACGACGTTTTGCTTTCTGGCAACCAACAAACTTTTTTTTGGAGTGAAATCTTTTGTTCGACCCTTAGTTAATACGTCGTCACGCCCAAGACTGCGGGAACTGGCATGGTACAACTTAGAGATGATGATCAGTCGGGGATACAGGACGCGATTTTCGACAACGACAATAACAAAGTAAGGCGGAAAAAGATTAGGTAATGTCTTGGTAAGCAACCTGTTCACGTGCCATGCAGTGACACTTGGAACAGTGATGTGTGATGTGACTTTGCCTCTTGCTCTTGACCACCACCTTCCTAATCCGTAGTTGTACAGCCTCCGTAAGAGAGATCGCACACACGTATCGTTTCGATCCCGACGATAATCTCAGAATGCCTAAAAAACTGACCGCGGCCGAGAAAGCTCACCGGAAACAAGAGCGAGAAGCGTTAAAAGCTGCTCAGAAAGCGGCCGAGGAAGTGGCGGAGCAAGAAGCCCAGGAAGCGGCTGAGCGAGAAGCCCAGGAAGCGCCCAAGAAAAAGAAGGGAAAAGGGACGCGGCGACCGACGCCCGAGCTCACCGAGGACGAAGAGGTGCAACCTGCGCCGCCGAAGAAGGGGAAAGGGAAGCGGCGACCGACGCCCGAGTTCACCGATGACGAAGAGGAACAACCTGCGCCGCCGAAGAAGGGGAAAGGGAAGCGGCGACCGACGCCCGAGTTCACCGATGACGAAGAGCAGCAACCCGCGCCGCCGAAGAAGGGGAAAGGGAAAGGGAAAACCGTCGCACCTGAGCAAGATCCGATCGATGGGGATTTGACGGCGCTGTCCGGTAATGATTTCGCAGTGACGGTGGATATGGCTGATGTGATGCGGCCAGATGACGACGATGAGGGACGGAACGATGTGGGGCTAAGGGCGCCGGTGAAGGTGGTTGGACGGGGTGGTCGGGGAGAGGGCGTGAGCAAACCGCCGGGTGCGCCAGCGCCGCGGAAGATTGTGCAGGGGATGCGCCCGAAACCCCGACGTAAGTGGATTCGATGAGAGAACCTTTCGCTGAAAGTGATCTAGCGAAAAAGAAGACGGCGGCCAACGCGCCGCAAGAAGGGTCATCGATGGATGCGCGGCCTTCCACGCCGCAGCCTGCGCCATCGCAGTTGCCTTCGACGCCGCAGCCTGCACCATCGCAGCTGCCATCGTCGAGTGTCCCTGTGACGCCAGCCACGTCGACTCCGGCACAGGCGGCGAAGGCCGCTGAACCGTCGCAAAGTGAGTGCAAAGTGGTATCGGCACTTGTTCGTTACTGACGCAACGCAGGGAAGAGAAAGGCGAAGCAGCAGCCGGCGGGGCAGGCAGCGAGCAAGAAGCCCAAGGAGTCGGTGGACACGAGTCGGAGTAAGAGCAAGTTGTCGCAGGTGATTGTGATTCTTGCGGCACTCGCGCATCTCGTGCAGCTGTTTCCGGACCTCTTCGACGAATTCGAGGAAGAAGATGGGGAGAAGCAGAAGCCGCAGTTTGTGGAGGACCTGGAGAATCATCAAGTGTATCCGCTCTGGGCTGAGACATGGCCCGGAGGAACGACGTTCACGAAAGAGGAGCACGCGCAGTTGCGGGCGGAGCTGATCGGGGAGGGGCGCAATCTCCTTGTCTGGACGAACAAGGAAGCCAGGGACTTTGACTGGACGCAAGCGCCGGTCTTCGAGCGATTCAGGGATGCGGCGCTAGTCAACAACTGGCACGACACGCACACGGCTCGTGTAAGTGGCAATTAACCGTGGGTCGCCGATGCTTAGGGCTATGCAGTTCTTGGAGCTCCTGAAACAGTCGAACATGGGGGATCCGGAGGAGGTATTCATGTCGGACTCGTACCAGTTGCAAGATGCGGCAGCGGCGCGAGTCCCGCCGGGAGTAACTCACTACGGCGGGGAGAAGCAACAGATCCTCAACAAGTTGTACCGAGGGTCCGTGGGGCAGATATGGCGGTCGACAAACGCCGAGATGCTCTTCTCGATGCTGTACGAGCGTCATGCGGATGCGCTGCGAGCCAAGGCGGGGCGGTGTATGAGGAGATTGCAGGATCGGTGGAACGACTTTGCGCAGTACCTGCCAACGATGCCGGAGGGAGACGTGCTGGTGGGCAGCGATATCGAGCTGGAGTCGCTTGCGTCGGCCACGCGTGCCGCGGCGGTGTTCCTGAAAGGGTTTGGGTTTGTGCCCATTGAGGGCCCTGATCGACACGTCCTGCGAAGAGTCAACGTCACCGAGAGGAAAGAGCTGGCGGATCAGCTTGACGCACTGCTGAAAGAAGAACCGGCTTCGCGCCGCAATGGGGGACTTGCGCAACCGGCATGGGGTCGGAAGCTGGAGATTGCGGCGCGGACGCTGGGGTATTTAAGCGTGGTGGCTGAGATGAAGGGCAAGGACATGAGTGAACCAGCCGAGGAAATGCAGGCTCTCGCATGTGAGTGATCAAACCTGGTGAACCGTATCTCTAATAGACTTGACCTTGCGCCTAACGGGCATCTTGGGGGTACCGACGATCTGGCAAATCGTTTGCCAATTTTTTTTGTTCTTGACTGATTTACCTTCTGCCTAACGGGCATCTTGGGGGTACCGACGATCTGCCACATCGTGAATTACTTTTTTGGTTACTGAGTTACCTTGCGCCTCACGGGCATCTTGGGGGTACCGACGATCTGGCAAGTCGTTTGCCAATTTTTTTTCGTTCTTGACTGATTTACCTTGTGCCTCACGGGCATCTTGGGGATACCGACGATCTGCCACATCGTTTGCCAATTTTTTTTGTTCTTGACTGATTTACCTTGTGCCTCACGGGCATCTTGGGGGTACCGACGATCTGCCACATCGTGAATTAGTGTTTTTGGTTACTGATTTACCTTGTGCCTCACGGGCATCTTGGGGGTACCGACGATCTGCCACGTCGTGAATTAGTGTTTTTGTTTACTGAGTTACCTTGCGCCCAACGGGCGTCTTGGCGGTACCGACCATTCACTCACCCCGTTCAGACCTCCGCGGCCGCGCTGCAGCCACGGCTTGGGGCGTCGACCCCGAGCTCCTTCGGAACATCGACGCCGCCGCTCTCGACGAAATCGCCCTCCGAGTTTGGGAGACAGCCGAGTCCGTGAGCTTCGACGGGTCGGACGAGGCGGATACCGCCGCAACGACCCTGTTCTCCGGCGAGATCGACGCGACGGCAAAGCTGATGGCCTCTTTCGACAACCCCGCCCATGCCAAATTCGACAAATGGTCTGTAGACCACATGATCGCCTACTGCGGTGGATGGCCCCCTTCCTCAGAAAGCACTGGGCGCGCGACTACGCGTTGTACAATCACGACGGCAAGGACGTCGAGATTCCCAACGTTACGCAAGAGCTCCGTCCCCACTGGCATCAAGCGGTGGTCTGGGCCGGTTTCTCTCGCGTTTTGGCTCAGCCCGTGCAAACGGCAACCCCGTCAGCGACCAGCGACACGGGACCAGAAGCGACGGCCAGCGGCCCGACGCGCCGATCGGCGTCCGCACTGGCGCGTCCATTGCAAGAAAAATGGAACGAGATTCCTGGATTCATGCTTTGCGATTCGATGGGTCTTGGGAAAACCCTCTCCGCCATCGGCATGATCGCCATCATGCAACAGGCGGCGATGATGACCGAGTCGCCGATGCCTACCGACGCCGAGCCGGAAGAGATGACGCCGTTGTCGCCTTGGCCCAAACGACTCCGGGCGGGTGGTAAGGAGTTCACCTGCATGGCTTGCTCACTGCTTGATATCCGACAGAGTTGAGCATCAACGGGAAACAGTCTGTTCCCCTCGGGCCGTCTTTGGTCGTCGTTCCGAACAGCCTTGTGCAGCAATGGGTGAACAGCTGCAAGTCGCACTTCGACCAGCGCATTCGCGTGATTGCGATGCCCTCTGCACAGAAGCTGTGGAGAGAAACCATGGACGCCATTCCTGCGCAGGGCAGCACCACGGTTGTCATTGTGACCTACTCGGTGAGCGTGCATCTGAACGAAGACGATGATTTCTGACACGCGCTCGCTCTCAGACCCTCCGAGGCATGCACGACGTGATCGGCCACGCCAGCCAGCTGCCATTCCAAAACCCCGA